TAAAAAAAATTACATTTAGTAATAAAAAAAGGACAAAATTGACATATTTAGGCCTTTTTTACTATTAACACAGTTCTACGTGTATATAATTTTGTCACATTTTTCTTAATTTTCTCACTGTATGACTCGTTTTACCGAGCACCGCAAAAATATATATATATATTTTTTTGACCGGGTAGATGGTTAGGAAGTTCGTAGAGTTAGTTTGTTAACAGCTGAAATTTTTTTAGGAAAGTAAAACTTTCACCCCCTTATTTGAGGCACACGACCATTAGATCACAAATTGATAGAATTTACGATGGTGGTAAAACTTAAAACCTGATCTTTGCCTCACCTAAACCCTAAAGCTTGGGACCAACCAATTGAGCCACAAGGCCTGATTGGCCGCAAAAATGTAACCTTAACAAAAGCTTTCTTTGAAAATATCTTCTGAAACCAATCAAATGTCCCGAAAGGTCATATCAATTCACCTCATGTGACCATATGTACATATAGAGAGACAAAGTTTTCAACGGTGTCTCTTAAAAAAAAAAACAAAAAGTTTTCAATGGTGTGAGCAGTTTGATGATTTTGATTTAACATAATTAATGGATACATTTAACCTAAAATAAGACATGTGTGAAGTCCAATTTTTCATCCGCCACCAGAAGTGTAAAGTCCAATTATAATGATTAATTTGCACAAGACTATAACATTTAACAAGAGATTATTGGTACACAGTTATTGTAAACTCAAACTCAATTAGGTCATAACAGGGGGATTTGGTGAACTTCCCCCAATTAAAAAGACATATAAAAAGATTAGTCGCTTCTAACAGGTGCCCAACTCGTAAAAAACTTTGTCCAAAATAAAATAAAAGTTACAGATCCAAATAAAATAATGAGAGGTTTGACAAGGCATAATGGGTGTGGGGAGCGGGGGGGTGGGTTTACTCCCATTGGCCAAATCATCTTGTCCTTAGATATCCTGTGCTTTGGGTCTTCCTAACTCCAACCACTCTTCAAAATGACATGATAAGGACAATTGTACATAACAAGAGGGTTAGGTACTGTTAATTAAAGGAATGTTAAATTAAATAGCAGAGACAGAGATCTTTATCTTCGAATTTGGTTGGGGAAATTCCTGTGGAATGGTCAAACAGCAACTCAGATAGTTGTTATATTATTATTAAGTAAAATTATAGATTTATATTTAAGTAAAAAAGTATTAATTAATTAATAGTATATTATTATTTATTATAAAATTAAAATATTACATGATTATATATTTTTAATAATAAATCATGAAGTGACACGTCAGCTTGAGCAGGAGAATTTGGTGCCGACATTTCAGAAGTTGAAGTTTGGTCAAATTTATGGCTTGCAGTGGCAAAACACTTGAACACATAATAATAACCAAATATTG